GTGCGAATGGGTGAATGGCCGAATAATGTGAAAGCGCTTTGAGTGTGCTGTAAAAGCATAGAAAGGCGCTATACAAGTATAAGACCATTTACATCCTCATTGTTTCACAAAAATAGAAAATAAGTCTTATACTCACCCCAGCAGCACAGTAAACAGTCTGAAAACACATGAAATTAACACAAAAACAACAAGAAATTGCAATACACACAATTCTCAATCATCCCTCTGTCTCTAACTTCAGACACACATCTCAGTCAATTCCACAACACCAAAAAAATATAAGTTCACATGTTTAAACACACATTAAAGTCCACTTATTCACATACAGAAAACGCTTTTAGTAGGAATCCACAAATAGGACAGACCTCTGCTGTTAAATCCGCTGTCTGCCACTTGTACCTTTTTCTGTCAATCTTAATAGGCTGTTTCACAATCATATAAACTTCAGACATGTAAAAACAACAGCAATGTATCCTGCAAACATTTAAAGCAAGTTATTTACATCAGTATTAGTAATGATGTTAGTGTTAGTAATCGCAGCAGTCTTCCACCACCTGTCAGAATAAAATCAAGTTATTTGGTTCCCTTCACAAAAATTCTTGAAGGACAGTCAAGATGGGAGATTAAATGTAAAATTCTCCCAACTTAGGCTCCTACCTGCAAAGACAACACCAAGGGTTGTCCCAGTGATGAGTACTTCAAGGTTTGTCGTGGCTAGAGTGTGATACAAACTAAATTAATTCAGACAAATCATCCCAATTTAAATTACCATTTAATATTACAATTATTCTGAACAGAGTAGTAGTTAAACAGGTAATCTGGTAGTTAGGGAAACAGAAATTGTCAGGGTGCCAGTCAGTCAGTCTGTCAGCCCACAGTCAGCGTCTCCCCAGCCAGGTCTGAGCTCACTCAAGGCATCCTTAATTCTTCTCCTTCCTCTCTAACCCAGCTTTTTATCTGCTTCTACTTACACAGCCCTCCATGGCCTGAGCCATGAAGACGCGGTCCCATGCCAGCCACCCTCACACACCTTCTTCCGAGCATTGTCTAAACTGTCCAGTACATGAACTTCTAGGTCGCATTGACCTAGCGCACATTTCCTTTTTCTAAACCTGAACATCTAGGTCGCATTGACCTAGCGCACATTTCCTTTTTCTAAACCTGAACAGAGCACACGAACAGTTCACATAAGGCTACAGGTACAATATATCCATTCCCTATCTGAGGAGGAAGTCACTCAGGATGTTGACCCATAGGCTAAACAAGGAAAACACAGCCCAAGATATTCTTGCCTGCTATTATAAAGGCTTCAAACACTCCAGGGTGCCAAGGCCCACCTGGGAACCATTGCTGTAGGGCACAGTCTCATTTAGTCTGAAGTCTGGCATAAGATACAACCAACCCGTGAACTACAGTAAGTCATATAGGCCTATACTAGATCAATCAGCATCTTTAGATGTACTTTAGGAAATAGGTGACATTTTGCAGTAATCTGATTTGTTATATTTATTTTTCCATTATATCATTAAACCCAGTTTCTATAACCAGGGTAGGGCATTTGAGAAACCCAGTTAATCAAGATAGAATTCTCCTGGAGAAAAGCCCAATTCTTGGCCATGTACAATATGTGTTCAACCTGGTTCCCATGATCATTACATGTAGTGATGCTTCCTCATCTTTAAAATAATATAAAGCAAACATTTATAAAACCAGAAACTAACACAATGCAGCTTCTTGGTCAAAAGTTCGTTTCCACAGTGTAACAACTGATTTCTTGTAAAATTTTCTTTGTGCTGTAAGGAAACATTGTGTGTTTTCACAATCATGATGGTTAACAGACTTTGGTTAACTTGTAGTGAACATCCTGTCAAGGAGAGGGACAGGCCTACAGGCAAAAATACCTTAACGAATGACACTGTCCATAAACAGCACAGAAATTGCCAAAGGTGTGTCTACTTAATTATGAAAACCAGAACCTAGCTCACAGTTTATCAGTGTTGTAAAACTGTCATGCTGTTCAAAGGGTACCAGACAGAAAACACTATAATGCAAAAGAATAGAGAGGTAAAGGAAAATGGTAGATGAATGGCCCACAGCATAATATTAAATCTCACCTTACTAAAACTTACTTTTTTTTTGGTATTTTCTTTAGAAAATGCAATTTTTTAGTTGTGTGGATGCTGTAGCTGGTCCTGTGGTGTAGCCACAACAACCTGGAGATGAACAAACTCAAACCACGTGAGATGACTACATTCCAGGACCCGAAGTGGGCATCCACCATCAGCACCATCACCAAGAAAGCGGCACAGCAGAGGATGTACTTCCTGCACCAGCTCAGGAAGTTCAACCTGCCCCAGGAGCTGCTAAGACAGTTCTACAGAGGAATCATCAAGTCTGTTCTCCACACCTCCATCAATGTCTGATTTGGCTCAGCAACCAAACAGGACAAGTACAGATTTCAGTGGACAGTTTGGACTGCAGAAAAGGTCATTGGTGCAAGCCTGCCCTAAATGGACGACCTGTACACCTCACGGATCAAAAGGAGGGCTGAGAGGATCACTGCAGACCCCTCACACCTGGGACACAATCACAATCTTTAAACAAATAATACATTACTTGAACCATCACAAGGTCATATTTTATTTTTACTTACTGTTCAGAGGCAGCATGCCATCACAGACAGTCATGATATGCAACTAAGACATGAAGGAAGAAAATGGAGAGTTTGGCTTTTCACTTTTCATTAATGAACAGATTAATAATCAATATACACTGACCAGGTGTAACATTATGACCACCTGTGTTATGGTGAGCACTCGCGGAGGCGAGTCAGCGAACAGGCTGGACCCAGATGGCCGGTGCGATACTGATCACAAAGTTCTTTGCACTTAGAAAACAAGTTATGGAGATAACAGTCAATATGCCGGAAATGTCTGCCAGAGGAGGAAACCAGTACAGGCAGAAGCCAGGACCTGTAACAGAGAATCAGAAGAGAAGAAAGAGAGGCAGGTGGCATAGAGCAAACCTGACAACCTGTACATCTGTATTCACTTCAATGCCACACTTCTGCCTTAACATTTGTGTTTATGAAACTCAAAATGTTTCAGTTTTTGGTGAGAATCTCCTAAATGTATAAATTCTATTATATGTTCATTATTGAAATCATAGTTAAAGGGGTTGTTGTGCTGGACTACACTGTATTCAGAGGTGTCTGTATATTTTTGTTCTCCCCTTTCACATACATGAAAAGGTCAGATTATTAGGATGACCTCTGAATATAATTAAGTTCAGTACAACAGCACCTTTAACATTTTGAGCTTCATAACCAGATGTTAAGGCAGAAGTGTTGCACTGAAGTGCATACAATTGTACAGCTGTACCTAATAAAGTGGCCAGTGAGTGTACATATTCATGTTATGCAATCTTATTTTATATTCAGTAGGAGTACTTCTCTACTTACAAAGTAAAGCACAGGGCAGGATCAACATTCTGTGTCTGAGAGGAAACAATATTTTAATTTCTGCTGTACATGTGTAAATATGCAATGAGTCACTGCAGTTACCCTAAAACTAGCCAGTATTCAAAAACAAAACAGGAAAATAAGCCAAATATATAGTTGGCAAAACTCTGCTCCCTCTCAGTACCAGTTTGGCTGTAAATATTTTTTTTCTTGTAACTGTCAATTAACAAGAGCTATCATAAGAACACAAAAGTAGTTATGACACTGTAAGAGTCAGACATTTGCGAGTAGCAGCTGTTAATCATGGCCTGCACGCACATTACCTCCTTACCTTATGCAGGAGTGTGGCTTGTGCTGTAGTTAGCAGCAATGACATTGTGGGGAAAAAGCAGTAAGTTAGCTGTCTCATCTCCCAAACAGTTTCAACTCCCATTTACCACGTATGCTGCCATGTGATTTACTCTGTAAAGTCACATTTAGTGCTACATTATGTTTATCCATTAAACCTTCAGCTAACATGCTACCATTAGCTTAGCAGTTGACATTACAACGTTGCTAATGAGCTAATAGTTAGCTCATTAATTAGCTCACCACAAGTAGTTCCGTCTTTGCTTCATACTGTCGTGGCATCAGTTACATATAAGCAAGAAGCCAGTTGTATATCTTTTAAACCAGCTACGTTGAATTTTTACCATTAAAAAAACTACAGTAAGTGCACTCACCCAAAAGCACCAGACAAAAGACGGATGGACAACTCACGCTAATACACTTCAGCTGTGTAATGGCTGCATTCAAGGAAACTCGGAAATCCCAGAATCATAGTTGCATTCATAGGCACTCAGAAATTCCAGCTTCGAGAGTCGCAAAAGTTATATTCGGTGATTTCTATACCTGAAATGCATTACTTCAAACGCTCCACTTATCTATCATACTATTACTCGGTTGTGCATATTGAACCGTCATGCTGCCATGCTGAGGTTTGAACAAAAATAATGCACATAATAATGCTCCCTTCATGAAACACTTCAGCACTTAGTTCTAAAATGTGCTTCAGTGAAACTACAGCTGATGTTGTTGTCATTCTCTGAACCTTGTGGATTGTACCACTCCTCTGTTTTAGGGTGTGTTCTTTCTATGTAGACTAGATCAGTGTTTCTCCACTGGTGTCACCCTGGGAACCACTTTGCAACCCACTTGTCATGTGCGCGACCCACCACTACAGGATTTCAAATAAATGAATTAAATTATAAAGCTTTTTTTTTTAAACATAGTCAGTACAGCCTTTGTGTCAGATTTTTCTGTCTGCATTAAGGAAATGTTACTCAAAAATAAACATAAACACCACAACTGCTGCATAAAACAACATAAATATAACAGTCGAATAACACAACAGGGTGCTGTATGTGTATAAAACTGAATGCAGAACTGCAAACAACATGATTAGACTTTATACTCTCTTTTCACTGAAAATGTAAGCAAGATTTTATTTTACAGTGAACTAATGAGATAGCTGTAGTTGTCCTTTAGTTTTGACAAGACTTTCAACGTCTGGGCTGATAGGAGACAGAGCTACTCTCAGATCATGTTCAGTGTCCAACCTGTTCCTTTGCTTTGACTTGAGCTGTACCAAAGTGGATAAGCCACTTTAACACAAATAGGTTGTTGTGAACAATAGGATTGTTTGGCTGCCAATGTAGTGAGGGAGGGATATTGAGACATCACGTATTTGCACCGGAAATGGGGGAGCCTTACCTCATCAAATTTCTTTCTCAGCATCTGGTCACATGACAGCTCGACCATCTGAATCTCCTTGCTGCTTGGCAACACAACGCTTTCCATGTCAATTCCAAAGGGATCTCTTATCCAGTGACTATTGTCATGTTTCTCGGTAAAGCAGTCCTCAAAGCAAGCATGTAGACTGGTCAGATGCGCAGTGATAGGTATTTTCAAGGCATTTTTGGCCACTGTATTTAGCTCTCCTGCTGCGTGGCAAGTGTTGGGAAACATGTCAAGTCTGTTTTTAGTCAGTGATTTATCCACAACCTCAACTTCTTTTTGAAGGCAGTGACTTTGTCAGTCTGTTCAAAGATGTGTCCTCTCCCCTGCAGACATGTTTAAAGTGTTGAGGTGCTCGAACACATCAGCAAGATACACCCCACGCACAAGCCAGAGTTCATCACTGAGCATCTCAGTGTACGGGGAGTTATTGTGTGAGAGGAAGGTGGCGATTTCACGTTTAAACTCGTAAAAGCGTGACATTACCTTTCC